TACCAATTAGATTATAAGCGGACAAAGTGCAAACTTCAAAAAGGTACTTTTAGTGAACTGAATTTTGCCGTTTGAGTTCATATTCATCCATGTAAAATACCTGGCAAAAGACAATTTCTGTGCTGATCACGACTCCATTTGGACTCTATTTGCTGTTATTTGCCGTCCAACTTGGAGTAACTACCAAGTTAATCATAACCACACGCATTTTCCATTTAAGTAAAAAAAAAAAAAAAGATAAAAAGATAAAAAGCAAAGTCAATAGTTAAATTTGGTCACTGGTGACTGGCCTATGGTTAAACATACAACTTATATCACCCATTTGAAGTAAATCTCACGCAAAGACTCCAAGGAGGTTAGAAAAGTTTTCAAACTCTAGAAGAAATAATTTCCAACTTTCCCAGATGGAAAAAATATATATGAAAAAATTTGCATACTCCAAAGAGACGTAATTCCAAATATATTATTCATTTTTTTTTCAGCTAGATACTTAAATATTATCTTTTATATGTTTGAAAAATCCTTCACCTTTTCTTTTTGTCCATGGATGAAAGTATAGAAACAATCATTTCACCAATTGAGTGGGACTTTCTCTATATAAATAAATCTTGCATCCTGAATTTCAATAGTGTGATATATGACACCTTGCATACATCATTCTAATTGTGCTTACTTTATTATTTTATTTTTTTAATTTCTTTTCACCTTGTAAAAAAAAATCTTCATCGATTAATCTTGCTGACAGTACCTCCGTGTCGCTGCATAGCTACAACTGGCTCATTGCATCGATTGCACCGGAAGGACATGGCTGCAGAACACCTCGTTCGAAGACAGTAATAGCAGTACCTGAAGTAATGTAATAAGATTTAGATTAGCATTTAACATAGGTAACTTTGTTTTCAGAAAGCGACAGATCATCAAATTCGGTTACGGGCGTTCATGTCTTAAAAAGAGTTACTAAACCAAAAGACAATCAGGATTAAGTTGAACTACTTAACAAGATAAAAAGATAAAACCCAGCTATTTATAAAAAATAAAACATCTAAAACTACTTTGATATTTGTTAGTTTCTTTATTGCAGATTACAAACTGAACGAGTTATTTTACTATATTCTAGGTGGTTACTTGTAGTAATCAAACATAACTGATTTTTGTGTAATTAGATCAAACTTCCAAGGACATAATATATAAACCGCATTTAGTTAGACAGAAGGAAATAAATAACAACTCTATTGACCCAAGTTACCCCACAAAAAAGCCACAATATGACATTATTGATATTTCATCATCTTCAGCATAGAGTCCAATGTGGCATTAAAATAGACACATAAATATCACAATTAATTATCACAGAGAAGTGACTCTCAAAAGTTATATTACAACTGATAACTTCATCATCATTCACACAGTACATTACAAGGGTTATAGATAAAATTCCAGTAAGAGGTTATTATCCCAAAAGTACTGAATATCATAACCTAACCTACAACAAGAAGGAATTATGTAGCATTTGAACCCTTGATGATTATTTACGTCAAGTTAGTTTTTGGTCCATGATGGTCAATATACTTAAAAAAGAGAACAAGAAGTTACCTGTGCTGACATGGGACTGCCAAAAATGGAGTTGTAGGGGTTGTCTGACAGATGGGACATAATGCATCATCTCCTTCAGAGTTAAAAGATTTATCTTTCGAGAACGGACTGAGAAATTTTTTAACCGATGATGAATTTAGAAGAGGAAGCAGCAGCAACAGCATTTCCTGCACATAATATGTCGGTAAAGATAAGAGAGTTTTTTCCAAAAAGAAAAGGAAACACATAAACTCACACAGTGTTTACAGAATGTTACACTCCTGAAAGCTGACTAGAAGGATCAAAGAACTTTACACCAACTCAGGGCACATTGGGCCATGATACAAGGTGCAAAATAGACGCCGTTGGGTAAAATTGGTAAATTGGTAGAAATTTCCAGTTAAAAAGGGAGTGGAGGGACATTACGAGAGAAAAATGAACATTTTATGATATACTTACGTAAACCATATTTCACCTTATGTGTTCATGATGTAATGTCAAAACTTACCGAGAATTCATTCCATACCAACTGCCGGTTCATGTATTCAAAGCTTACAGATCGGTTCATATGAGGGCTCCCATAGACGAGTCTTGCCTGTAAGACTCTTTCAATAAGACTCCTATACCTGTATATATGCGAGCGAGCATTAGCTTGCAACCTCATTCCTGATGCTCATAAGTCTAAGAAGAGGTTTGTTTTTAACAAACTCTTTAACAAGTAATTCCGATGACGGATAAAAGGTTTCTGATCATCTACATTACCACATAAGCAACTGTTCATAAAAAAGTCAAGCTCCGGAAGATAGGGCTTAACTATATTTGTAGCCAACTCATTTATGCACTCACAAGTAAAATCTATAGGAAAAATTTGCAGCCACCAGTATTTTAGATTACAGAGAATAGTGAGTAAACCCCAACCTTAAGCATACCACTAATTAAGTGTTAATTAGACAGACAGAGAAGAAAAAAGAATGTTCCAGAGAATACCCAACGTATTCACAATCATTTTTTGTTAGCACAGCCTGCTCTCTGAATTGAACAGATGCATTCCTGATTAAATTAAGATGCATGTATAGACAAGTAATGTTCGGCTTTATATAACTTCCAATAAAAACAAGATATCTTAATATGTCTGAAGAGTAAATAAGAGTCTTTTATACGCATTAAACTACTAACTCCTTTTTTTCCCTTTTTCCTATTCCTTTCCCGTGTTTTGAAGCTGTCTCACAACGACAGTGAGCTTAAAAACAACATAGAAGAAGATACACATTAAATTTGCTATTACTCATTCAGAAGTCGGAACCAATGTCTATCACACATCCAATTTATTTAATTTTTTCCTTCACTTACCAACGTATGTACAAAAGAACATGTCAAAATACAAAAGGATTTCACAGAATTATATACCTTCCAGTCAAAAGAAATAAGAGTAGGTTTCCAAAAGATGCAGCCTTGTATAATCCTTCTATGCGTTGTAGCAGAAACCAACTTCGACGAGCTAGAGACCTCTGAAGAGGAAATAGATAATGTTAAGACTGCTAAACTCTTCACGTGAACATGCTTCCATTTGATTGTGTGAGAGTGTCCTTGTACATCCAAATCTTAGTAAGTGAGAGTATGAGTGTTAAGCGTCCCAGAAACACAAAGCTACAGCTACTATATCAACGCATGATCGTAAAGTGGTAAAAATACCTGGTCTGTGTCGCCCCATCTACGGAAAGCTGAAAATGATTGAAGGCGGGCCCAAATATACTGACCACCTACTGAAGCAATACAGTACCAAATTTTCTGAGAAACAGTTAATCCTGGCCCTTCGAGTCCCGTTCTAACTGCAAGAACATAAGAAACAACACATCCATTTATAATAGCCTGAGAAATTTAAGTGAAAATTATCAGTGATGTAATACACAATAAAAGCAAGAGATATTCAAAAAGAAGAAAAGAAAAAAAGATCATTATTCATTATCACAATTACTAAAACATGGAGTGCCTCTTCTCTCATATCTAGAATATTAAGCTATATGATAAAAAAGATGCATAAACATATATTGAGTTAGGTAAAATACTGGACCCATGAGATTAACTATCGGTCGGCACTCAATTAAGCAATTTGACAAGTTTTCCAAGCCAGACAGAATGGGGCCTGCACGTGAAGGGTGTGCTAAAGATAGAAACATGAAAAACTTCCATAATAGCAGTTGAAACTGTTAGATGAGCAAGATATTTTTCCAATGGCTGTCCCACCATGGCAAATGTTAAAAGTTTCTTCACTGTCTCCAAAGTACTAGAAAAGAGATCAAACTACACCTGGCCTCCAAACCAAGGACTATGTCTAGAAAATGAAAAAGTATGCTAGAAATCTTATAATGAAAATGACCACTCCTCTCCACTTTAGTATAATGACATATGAAATATAGGGTGTGAAATCAATTATTGTTTCCACGACATCTTAAATGGAGGTAGTAATACACTCAGGTGCAGAAAGTGTTCACGATAACAGCCTAGAGAACAGACATAAATTCTTATAAAGGAGGCAATAAATAAAATTAACCTGTTCCAAAGTTCCTCTCCTCCCCCCCACCGACCAATATATGATGAGATGATAAATTTAAAATATCTTGTAGGGTGTTCATATTTTAAGCCTGAAAGCATATATTCTCTCCAATTCCATGTAGATCTATAGATAATCGAGCTGTCTGTTCTAATAGGCCAATCCATAAAAGAGACACTCTCATATCCAAAAACTTCAACAAACCTCTGACATAGTGTTATTTGCATTATATGATATAATAAATCTTAGTACTCATGAAGGCATATTACAGAAAGCACTAATAGCAACCAAAACACGTGATTCACATATAGATTGAGAAACACATAGAACAGTAGGAATATATAGAACAGTAATGCAACAAAAAACATAAGATAACCACAGAACCACGGACCTTTTCCCCTTGCTTCAACTGCACGTTCATCTCTATACCTTAAATTCATGAGAGCGTTACCAGGAGTAGGCTTATCAACCCAGATGGAAAATCTCCATATAAGAAACTCAAGAAAAGCATCAAGTTCAGGTTCGTATTGAAAAAGCATTCCTGGCTAATTCCAAAAACAGAATTGACAAATTAACATGCCTGTTCAACTCCCGAATAATGCTCTAGACTGAGTAAATACAGATTAGCAGCATGATACTCACCTTCATCAAAGAAAATATTTTAACCAACTGTTCTTTCAGCATGGCCGACATTTCAACATCTAGACGAGCAGCATCAAACTGATTTACTCTAGATATCTCGATACGGATCATTTTCTGTCAAAGAATGCCATGCAATTAAGTTGCGAACGAGTGTAACTTTGTAATCATTCAGTTCCACTTTGAAACTTGAAACAAATACTAAAGACCAAAGCGTAGCAGTTCTATGTGTAAGCTCCTTGTAAGCGAAAAGGTCCACTTATGCGAAAAAGAAACTAGGTTCAAATAATTATGGTAACAAGAAGATTGGGCCAGAAATCCCTACCTTCATAGCTTATGATGCAAAGTACTCAAATGAGTAGGGTGGAAATTTCAAACATTCATACCCATGTATGGAAAGTAGCAAAATCGAGATTATGCACTTGGAGTAGCTTTAGCTATGGTCTACGATCATATCATTAGTGTTAGAAAAAAAAAGAAAAAAAAAATTCACCACAAAGTTGAATCATCAAGCACTCAGTCTCATGGAGCACACATAGTTGACAGGTTATAATGAACACTGGGAAATACTATCAGTGCACACATTACAACCTGCCACACACTAATCATTTAATTTTTCAGATGCCTTAACAATGCAAAATCGAAACAACTAGCTAATTTTTAATTAAAACAAAAAACTCCTAAAATGTGCAGGCGATACCAGTCAAACCGAAATCCCAACAAAGGCAAACAGAAAGTCGCTTAGACAAGCTCAAACCTAATATTCCCTAACAAGGCACAGATTCAACCAGATTCCTCATCGTCTGGCTTCCAAAATTACGACTCTAATTTTTTTCACCATCACATTTTTCACCTCGCATTCACCTTCCCACCCCAAGAGCAACAGAAATGAAGCAAAAAAGTATCAGCACAAAAAGGGCAATATACACACTTTACCTGGCTACCTGAGCAAAGCGACTGCCATTGAGGAAGCAGCTTCAGCCAAGTACTATACCACGCATCTTCCAGCGGCGGCGGACTGATAGAGCCGCCGCCGCTGGTGGATGAAGATGACGAAGCTAGGGTTTGTCTATCCATTTTCTGTGCGCTTCTGAGTGTGTGTTTCTAGCTTAGCAGAAAGGAATAGTTTTGAAAAGAGAGAAAGAATGGTGGGTTCTTATTTCTCAGCACTGCACAATTTCCTCACCACGCAGTTGTATTTTGCACAACTTCATATAAAACAGGGCCATTAAAATTCACATTTATTTGCTTTTTGCACCTTCAGAAACTTCTACTTTATTTTTTATATAGAATCTGATAAGATGTTTTGTAACAGAAAAAATAGTATTATAAATTCTGTTAGGGGCATTTTCGTCTCGGTGGCAGGAAATCTCGCATTCCAAGAGCATTGGGAGTCGCAAAAAGGAACATTAGGCATGGTTAAGTTTTGGGGTGCTGCTAAATACTGCACCCTTTTTGCTAAATACCGCACCCCAATTTACATTTTTGCCCTTTTTATATAAAAAAAAAATAAAAAAAAAATTAATAACATAAAAAACCGAAAAAAAATTTGTGTTGATATCACATTGCCCTTTTCATATATATCACATTGCTCACATATAACATAAAAAAAAAAAAAATTTGTGTTGATACAAACATAAAAAAAACTTCAAAACATCAAAAAATTGTAATAAATTCGAAAAAAACCGAAAAAAAGGGCAATTTAATTCGGAAAAAAAGGGCAACTTCAAAACATCACAGGTAAGTTTTTTTTTTTTTTT